CCCCACTGAAACTTAATTGATAAATATTGGTCATGGCGTCAAACTACATTCACTATTAAATACAAATTGATAATCGGACAGTAGTATTGCATAGCAGTTGGTTGTCGGGTGGGTGTAAAGAGAGTTTACAAATGCACCTCATTTGACGCACAGATTTACACCCGAACCAAACCATTTTTCTGTTTTTTTTCCCTTTTCGGTTATTTCTGTCCATGATTGGATAGAACTACAAATACTCCAAGATTTTTTTGACTTCATTAAAAAATAAAATCGTTTTTGTAGGATGGAAACTTTTTGAGGTCAAAACCCCCCACCCCCAAACTAAAGGAAATAAGATTTTATCCGACATCGATCTTTTGACGTCGTCCCTAAGCGTTCATATAGTCTGCACATACATGCTAAGCGTTCTTATAGTCTGCACATACATGCTAAGCGTTCTTATAGTCTGCACATACATGCTAAGCGTTCTTATAGTCAGCACGTACATGCTAAGCGTTCTTATAGTCAGCACGTACATGCTAAGCGTTCTTATAGTCAGCACGTACATGCTAAGCGTTCTTATAGTCAGCACGTACATGCTAAGCGTTCTTATAGTCAGCACGTACATGCTAAGCGTTCTTACAATTAGTTAGAAAACTTTTCCGGCAATGGTGAAGATGACCACAATAATATCGAAAAGGTATTCAAGAACTAATCATTTTTCATTTTTTTTAAAGGATCATGTCAACATGTAATTTTACCAAATATAGTATATCTTTGTTATAATCTTGTGTGTATAGTATAGTATACTTTACGTTTACCATCACTCGCTTGTATTTGTCAATTGATGAATAATCAACTTCCATAATATATATCATATCAGAGGTACATTACTTGGGGTTTGCAACGCGCATAGTACTGTACGGTGACATCATGTCAAGATCCCATTCAAGTCTCATCTCGTAGATAGCGAGACTGATGTCACGACCTTCTTACATGACATACAATGTATATGTTTTGTAATAAAACAATAAAACATGTCTCACACTATCATAGTGAAAAAATGTAATACATCGAAAATGTACAGAAAATATTGTTTTCGTAATCCGTCATGTCGTGAGCAGCTATTTTGATCCACCTTGACCTCCCAGTATTCTAGTTACATTGGGCATGCGCATTCGCATTGTTGGGAACGCTTATGCGAAAGCGAGATTGAAACGGGATCTTGCTATCATGTCACGCTATTTGCAAACCCCAAGTAATGTTCCCTAATCATATTAAATATTCTGAATATGTTAAATATTGGATGAAACAAATTTCACACGTGGAGTATAAAATAGTAGTTTTTTATTTAATAGATAAACAACTTTATCTATATATATCTGTATAAGTAAATCTGTATATTATGGTTGGTCTTAAACCATCAATGGTGGTAACATTGTTTT